TGGAATTTAGTTCTGTTCAGAAGGGGGTTTTTTTTTTTTTTTTCTTTTGCTTATTATATAAAATGATGGTAGGGAATTCTGCCCCTGTTTTTGCTTCCCCAAGCTGCATGAATGATCCTCCTCACCTGAGGGCCAAGGTGTGAATTGCTGTCAGCAGACCGCGGGCAAGCGGGGGCCCCTCGTGATGTAAGTGGTTTGTTAAGGAGCCTGCAGGCCTCTCGCTCAATGACTTCTCTGTCCATGTACAGCTTGGGAACAGTCATGGGGCCTTTTTTTCAGATGTGAAATCTGTCAGCAAAGTGAAGTCAGCTTAAATATCAGCTGAGTCTTGAGCTCCCTTTCAGTTTTTGTTGACTTTATCCCTTCCTGCTCCTTCCCGATCAAGTTTCTCTCTGCTTGAGTCAGACTTGCCGACACTTAAAAGTTTTTATTCTGTGTTTCAGTTGTGTGGATTTGTGAGTGGCAAGGTTCAGGTGCCCTTCACATTCCCAGCCTTGACAGTGATCTGAAATGCTGAGAGAGGGAGACCATTCTGGGTCTCTGAGACTCTTTAGCTGCTACAGTTCAATTAGAAACCAGTACAAGTGCTTCTGGTACCGAAAGCATGCTGTACTCAGGTGACACTGTGCAAACCTGCTGGAGTCTTTTGCGTTGTACCTGCTGCTACCAAGCTGAGGAATTCTAGTTGTGAATCAGCACCCCTTCTGTTCCCCAAATATGGAACAAAAATTACTTTCTGCAACCAGAATTTATCACCAAAATATAAGATGTAACTGATGGGATACAGACAGGCAGGCAAAATACATGGAAACAGCGAGCATGTGTTAGTTGTGTGCTGAGCCTGTCCCGGGGGCAGGATGCTGAGGTTGTGCCATGTCTGCTGGCTGACCGTGCAAACATCTGCAGGTTTAGGATAAACCTGTGGTGTCATTGCCTGTCACTGTTGAAGCATTTTATGTATTGAAAGCTTGAGGGGATTCTTGGCTGTGGCAACAAATTTCAGATGTTGTGGCTTATTTATAAAAAGAAAAGAAAAACCAGAGTAAACTGCAAGGGAGAGGAGAGCTAAGGAAGGAAAGAACAACTGTTCCTACTTCTGTTTTTTGTCACTCTCCTAAGGATAAAAGTTTGGACTTATATTGTTGTCTTTTTTTACCCTAAACTTAGACATGTTTTAAATCCTGTGATCAGCTGCCTTGACTGCTTTCTGTCCTACATGCACCCTTTTTGCTCTCTGTGATACCTTCAGTGATTTCCAAAGTTGAAATAATTTTCCTACTCCTGAAAGGGCCAGGATGTTTGAAGACTTGTAACTGAGAACTTCTGGCTGTTAAGACAAATAGGTCTTAACGTCCCATGGGTACTCTGTGCATCTCTTCCCCCCTTAATGGCAGAGGGCAACAGCCTGGCACCTCTCCATGCATCTGTCACTCCTCTGCAGGCGGTGGTCAAAGAGGCAACATTAGGGCCAAAGGTGCCAGGCTGGCTGCAGAAGCCACTTCTGGGCTTCTTTCTGTCCTTTGGTGAGTGCCATCTGTGTAATCCTGTTGTCTGGTTGATGATGTCTTTGGAAATAACCTTTTCTGTGTAATAAGCTATTGCGGGACAGGGTCCTACCTACCCCTCCGTAGGAAGCAGTGTTGGGTGCCCTCTGTTTTCCAGGTGAGGACAACGGTGGAGTGTGCTGGAGAGGTGATGGCAGTGTGGGTAGAATGGGATATCCCATTCTGTTCCCTGCCAAGGTGTGTGCAGGTGCTCTCTGCACTGGATAAGGGGGTGTTAAAACATAACCTTCTGACTCCTCTTGGGATCGTGTTGGAGAGGTGCTATTGAGAGGGAAGAGTGCGTTGCAGTCTGAAGAGACGGTGGGGCAGGGCAAGGTATTGGCCTCCTTCGTTTAACTGGAAAATACAAGTCACAATTTAGGATCTCTCAGTATGCGAAAACATCATCTGGGAAATGCTTACCTCATGGCTGCAGTAATAGTGAATTATTGTTATGTGATAGCTCTGTTCCAAAACCCAGGTGAACAGGAACAGTTTTTCCTGCTGTTCCTGGCCTGCTGGGCACTTGGCAGTCAATGTCTATAATCCATAATCTTGTGTCACAGCTAAATGTAGGAGGAAGCTCTCAACTCAGAAGTCCCTGAGTCCCTAGGGATGTAGACGTACTGGTGTTTGCTGAGAAGAAAATGGACACAAAGGTCTCCTGGTGTGAAGGATATGCATATCCTGCTGAGCTGAGGAAGGTGATCTTGATTTGACCTTTTTTTTCTCCACCCCCTTCAACCTCCCTCCCATCTTCCAGAGAAAGTTCACTCCTGCGACCAGGAAAGGCAGAGCGCTCTGGAGGAGGCCAGGCAGAACCCCCGCGAAGGTATCGTCATCCCTGAGTGTGCTCCCGGAGGGCTCTACAAACCAGTGCAATGCCACCAGTCGACTGGGTACTGCTGGTGTGTCCTGGTGGACACGGGACGCCCCCTGCCTGGTACTTCCACTCGGTAAGAGCTATAGGCCTGGTGAGATGAGATATAAAAAAGTACTGTTGCTATATCAGATAAGGTCCTACTTCTAGAGCAGTCAGCTCTGTTCTACCTTCCTTAGAGTTAGCAATGCCGTATGTGATGTTCCCTATTGAATGCTACGATGCAGCTCCCTCTCTGTAGGAGCTGGTGCATAGTAACTACTGCCCTTACTTTCATCTGTGTTACATATTCATGCAAAGCAGTCTTGTTTTCCCTGACTTGCAGCTTTTGAGTGGTAGTAGGAACGAGGGCTTTGCTCAAGAGTACAGATCAGGGGCATGAGCAGTGAAAAGACAAGTGGCTTTGTTGCATTATCCTCTGCTTTATACTTCATGCTGCAGCCACTTGGATCCTGACCAGTACAGATCTAGAAGACTGCTTGGTTGTGTGTTGATAGATTTTAAGCCCATGATAGATTTTTTTCTTTAAGTTACTCTGTATCTTAAAACTACCTGGGGAATCTTTTCTCACTTGGGGTTTGGAAACAAATTCTGGGTCTGGCAAGTTATAAAAACAGGCCAGTAGGAGTTGGGACCTAAACTCTGCTAGATACAATGATTCTGCAGAGCATGGACAGCTTTGAAAAAAGCTCAGCCTGTGCCCACCAGAGTTGGAAGAGGCCCTTGTGCTGTTTGTGGGTTTGGGTTGTTGGTAGCTGGTGCTGGACTTCAGAGTATGCTCTTCCTTCTCTCTCCACTTCTGCTGTTGCTGGCTTTCCATAAGCAAACAGATGCTTGAGAATGATATTTCTTCTGCAGGTTTATTGGTTTCCCCTGCAGTAAGCAGATAAGACACAACCCCTTAGCAACCATCTGATGACACTAAAGCTATATCACATAGTTTAGTATCTGCTGTTCTCCTTTTTCAGCTATGAGACCCCAGTGTGTGAAAGCGATGCCAGATCGAAGAGCACAGAGATTGATGATCCGTTCAAGGACAGAGAACTTCCAGGTTAGAGAGGAACAAGATCCTGTCTCTGCCTTCTTCCCTTGTCTCACCTTGGGACTCTTAAGAGGCCAAGAATATTGTTGAGGAGATGGGGGATTTCCCTCACCATGCATGTTTTACCATCTGTTTTGTTCTGTGTTATTTTGGATCATTTCCAGTTTCAGCAGTGAACTGAAAAAGGCTGGGAGTGTCCTGGGGGCTGGTTTATTACCTGTTTGCCCTTTGAAAACATGTCTGGGATCAAAATTTTCAGGAAAGAAACCTGGAAGCCTGGAGCTCTGCAGAGGGAAGAATGGGCTCAGCATTGAATGCTCTTCTTCAAAGCCTGACCAGGACAGGATCCTTTCCATTTAGCAGGGCTTTTCGGCAGCTTGGTGCCCCGTGAGCAGCAAAAGAGAACACAGCTGGCAATTGTCAGTGGACCAACTGGCTCCCTGACACTGCATGGACCAGGCATGGTGGCGTTCCTGGTGCACTAAGGTCCCTTAACTAATGCTAGCTTCTCACTTAGCTGGACTTTATCTCATTTTCTGCCTGGGACCAGCTTCATCTCCCATTGCTGTTTGTTTTATATTCTGCTTTTCCCTCTTAGCAGAGTGATAAGCCATAATTTACTGTTTACCTCCCTTGTTTCTGCTAGGAAGATGTGCTGGGCATAGGTGTCTGTGCAGCTCTTAAAAATGCTATCCTACCTGCCTGTGCTCTGGTTTTTCCTTCCTGCTGCCTTTCTAAGGAACAGAGTGAGGGCCTCTCAACTGACAAGTCAGCCATTGCCCTCCTGGGTGAGGGCTGACTACTCAAAACCAGAAGCTACAGTGGGTCCTTCTCCACCATAAGGGAGTGGTAGAGACCAAGAACTCTGCAGAAAGAGCTGGTAGCTCTGGATCCATTTCATTTTCTCCCGGTCCTTTCTAGGGCTAACATAAAGTAAGTTGTCCCTGAGCAGGTTAGCAAGGGAAATAAGATTTGTTCCAGATTTGCCTTCTGTGTCTCCTGATTCTCCTCCTGCTGGCTCCTGACCTCAGGCCCTGTAGCTTTCTCCTTAGCAACTCTGCCCTCAGCAGGGCTCTCTTCTATGCAGCTCCTCATTTTCACAAATCATGTAGAAATTTCCTATCTGCCTCCCTCTCACATTCGAATGAAACTGGCCAATTGGTTCAAGTATTACACTGGGGGGCAGGGGGAGGGAAACCAGCTAAATGATTGCATTAAGGTTCATTTCCTTAGGAAATCACACTAAAATAGAATAACCTTACTTTCTTTCTTCCCCATCCCCTTCTCACCTTGTTTTACTGACTCTCTCTGCACTCCCCCCTGCCTGTCCAGGGCTCCTCTGTGAAAATCCTTTGCTCTTGGGCTTTTTCTTCAGGACTTTCTTTCTGATCTCTCAGGAAGAGAGAATGGTTTCATTTCCCTTCTCCCTCTGCTTCTGCACTGCAGCTGGACCAGGGGACAGGAACTGCTTGATGCAGAAGAGGACACATGATGCTCTGTAGCTTAGTGGTCTGGTCCCAGCATCAGACTCCAGGAGAGTTCCCCTCTCAGCTCAAGACTCTTTTCTGTGTCTGAGTAAACTTTCAGCTCTGTGCTTGGCTGCATTGGCTGGCATGCTGGTTCCTGTCACTGAAAATACCCTTGTCTATGGAGAGACTAGGAGATGGAGGATCTGATCCTGGTTAGTCTGCATGAGAGATGCTCTGCTGCGTGGTCTTTTGATGCAGACTTGAAGTTTGTTTGATTAGCAAAAATTCTTGTATGCAAAAATTCACTGCTGAGCCAAACTGCAGGGGGTGAGAGAGAATGTTTCTTTTTACTTTTTTCTGCTCTTATTTCTTAGTAGAACTGAATTTTAAGAAAAAACTCTGCTTTAATTTGAGACTGATTATTCCATTTGCACTCAAATCTGTAAGGGAGACTCCTTACCTTATCCCTCTTCTAGAGGTTTGCCCATTCTTCAGACTTTCAGTGCTGCAGGCAGTGTGCTCCTTGGCCTGTGTGAAGAGACCTTGCAGAGGCCAAGGTGGGGGAGACATAAGTCCAAACCCTTGCACACCTACACGTACCCTCTTCACAAACTGTGTCATGGCTGCGGCCAGAAGAAAGAAAGAAAGAAGGGAAGTGTTGCTTGCACACAGCAAATGGCAAGCTGCTAATTCCTGCAGACGGTGAGATGCTGAGGCCCCAGGGAGATGATTTCTAGCAAATGGTTTTTCAACCTTCTCATTACTGCAACAAAAAGCTCCTTTAAGTGAGTGGTCTACTCTGGCTGCCATAGCAGCTTACCCATTACAATGCTGACATTTTCTGGACCATGTGCCAAACGAGTGCTGAGGGGTGTGCGTGTGTGTAATGCACATAATATGGAGACAGGCGAGGGACTGTTGGTTAGCTATTGCAGAGAACAGAGCCTGTAATACTGCAAAGGAGGGAGTTCTGTCAGATCCATTTGCAAGCTGCTTTCAGCTGTCAAGGGATTACAGTAAGTTTCTGGTGTTCTGTTTGGGGTACGCGTGCTTCTCTGCTTGTCTGGGAAAAGCAGAAAGTGTTGACACTGCTATATGTTGCTAGGGTGAGGCTGTTTTCTGATGTCTGCTGCCTTAATCAGCAGACTAATTGGTAGTGAATGTTGGGTTTGGGAAAGAGAAGAGGTAAGGGATGTGATGGCTTCTCTGTCACAGTAAGAGAAGACAATAGGATGGGAGGTGATGGGTTTTGGACAATGGTTTTGGAGATAGTGGGTTGAAATTAAGTATCCTTGTTCCTTGGTAGGCTAGAGCAATTGTTACCGTATTAATGTGGTAGTAAATGAAGTGTGCCTTTGCTCCTTTATGAAGCAAGGAAAGGGCATAGGTTGCCTCATAAAGGTGAGGAGATGGAGAATTTCATCTCAGCTGTGTTGTAACAAGCTGGCACTGTTAAGGATAGGAGGCTATGTCAGCCTGTGGTTATGATGGGGGGGAACTAGATGGCCTCAGGACTAAGTAATGGAAATGGTTACCAAGCTCGTCTTCAGCCCACTTTGTCCTGCTTAAGCCAGCAGTGACTGGGGGCGATTACCACGTGTTGACTTAGACTGACGTATTTCCCATGCAGTGTGATCATGCAAAGAAGTGAAATATTGTGGTAGCTGCTGGCAGGCAACACTCTCTGTGCCTGAAGAGGAGAGTGCAAGCAGCGGTGCTCACTTTGGCCCGTGCTTTGAGAAGCTTTAAGCTGTCATTTAGGACCTCAGAACAGCCATGTTTGCAGACGAAGATGACCCAAGAGATAATGAATTGTTTTGTAAACTTCTCTGCAAGTGTCACCATGGGAACTCCATCTGCCAGGCGCTTCCAGCACATCCCTGTGGTTATGCTGGTAGGGAACTGGGAGAGGCCATAAAGCTAACCACACGGTCTTCCTGCCAGATATTGTTGGTGACCATGTGTGTGCCTGGACAAAAGCTGCAGGACAAATTGCCACGCAGAGAAACCCACTGAGGGATTCTTCTGCCTTTCCTTAGGGACTGATGATGGCTGCCATGTTACAAACAAAGGAGTCTCCGGCTGATCCTTGCTCAACTTGGGTAGGAGACCAATCCTGTGTGTTCTTGCATTAAACCTCCTCTTTTCTTTCTGCAGGCTGCCCAGAAGGGAAGAAAGTTGAATTTATTACCAGCTTACTTGATGCTCTGACTACGGACATGGTACAGGCTATTAACTCAGCAGCACCTACTGGGGGTGGGAGGTGAGTCCAGAAAGCGCCTGGGCTGAATGTCACCAACGTGGCTGCAGAGCTCTGGGTGCCCCTGAGGTGGGAGTGGGAGGGAAAAGTGTTGCTCTGTGCTGATTTGGGTTCCTCTGGGTTGCTGGGAGAGGAGCTGAGGCTGCAGCTTCAGACACTGCCCTGCCTGCCTCCTCCTGCCCCTCCTCCCTGGCAGCTGCTCCACCATAAAGGTTAGTATAGCCCATTTGAAGTGTGAAATGAGAGCTCAGTGGGAGGAAGTGGCTTGTTCTTTTGTCCCCTGGTGCATGAAAAGACCTAATAAAATGCAAATGGATTGAAGGAGACCGTGTGGCCTAGTGGCTACCACGGGGAGTGAAGAATGCGAATCGAATTCTTGGCAGTACCAGCACTGTGGTTTTGCTGTGGGGCGGGAGCCAGCCTGCCGATGAGGAGAGGAGCTGTTTTTCATGGCCCTCCCCTCTGACCGGCTGCCTGTTCATCCCTCTTGGAAAGAGCAGCAGGTCAGGCCTGTTGCTAGAGGTGGGCAGAAGTCTGCGTTTCTGGGGAACTGGAGAAAAGCTGAGGTCTTGTCTCCCCCTTCTGCTTGATAACAGCAAATCCCCTTAGTGCAGCAGCTGCAATGCTGCAGCAGGACAGGCTGTTGAGAACGGACTGTGATGGACTTAAAAGAAATGCTATATTGCCTCGGCTAAGAAAAGGTTTTATTTTTTTTGGTTTTACCC